GCAAGTTACAGAGGTAATGAATTCACAATTTACAAAGGTAATGAACTCACAATTTACAAAGGTAATGAACTCCAGGTAGGTCTAGTCACAATCATGACAAGTTACAAAGGTATTTACAGATTACAGAGGTACGTAATGGGTCCAGGGACTGGGGTCCCAAAGTTGTGATGGCTTAACTAGGTACAAGGTAATGAACTCACAAGTTACAAAGGTAATGAATCTGTAAGAATGGTTACTTACGTTTATACATGGCTACAATCATGAACAATTATAGTGTAATGAGCAATTCACACTTCCACACCCGGTCACAACTGTAATGAGTTATTGGTGCAAATATTGATTGTTGAGACACACAACCACACACACACACACAAAACACACACCACACACACACACACAAAAAACAACACACACACACAAAAACACACACAAACGATTTGGACCCCCGGGCAGAGGAGCAAGTTAGAAAGGCTCCTCGTTTTAAACCCCCCCAAAAAAAAGGGGCCCTGGAAGGGGGGGCCGGCCACGCAATTGGCTTGGAAAGTTAAAACCCACCAAGGGGAAAAGTCTTGGGGGGGGGCAAAGAAGGCCCGGAAGACAATAACAAGTTTTTAGGGGGTCAAAAAAACACAAACCCTTTAGTAAGGGGAAAAATTAAGAATTAACACCAAGTCACCCTTTTGGAAGCGCATTTTAACCCCCAAAAAATTTGTAGAAGAAAGGGCGCCCTAGAAAATCAAACACAATTTTCCGAAAAATTTAAATAAGGGAAAGTTGGGGAAAACCCGGGAACACCGGAAACCCGGGGGTTTGGGGGCTTAAAAACCCATATTTGGAAATGCGGGGAACCGGGGGATGCCCAATGGAAGGGGAAAAAGAAACAAGGGGAAATTGAAATTGGAAACCCAAAAAGCCCCAAGAGTAGAAAAAATTTCCCTTCACAAGATTTTTTAAAGGGAAACCCCTAGAAAAGCCCGGAGGTGGGGGGGAAACCATAAACGGACATTTAAAAATCTGAGGGGAAAGAAAGGGGCCAAGTAAAAAGGTTTTTCCCGGGGTTTTTGGACCAGAAACCCAAAAAAGGGTTAAAGCAAAAACACAATTAAACCAACAAAAAAATACCCACCACAATCACAAATTAAAGGGGACATGTATTAAACCAACCAAAACCCCCACTTTAACAAGGATATAAACTCCACACCAATACCTATACACAAAAAAGGGGGCAACCACCACCCCCCAACCCACAAAACAACTAAACACACACACACACACACACATTCCACACAGGGGAAACCCAGCCCTTTTTTTTTTAAAAGGCGGGGTATGATAAAAGCTCATGGAGCAGGGAGAGAGGGGGACCTAGTAGCAACACGAAGAGGCGGGGCCAGGGAGCGTGAATCAAACCCCCTGCAACCACAAATAGGTGAGTACAAATAGGTGATACACAGGCGTTTGGGACTCAAACCCCTGAAACCCAAAACCCTAGGTGAGTGCACACACACACACAAAAAAAATTCACCCACACACACAAAACCAAAAACACAAAAAAAAATGTCCAAACAAAGGGGGAGGTTAAGGGAAATAAAACCTGACAAACCCCTGGAAAACAAGAGAAGATGGGGGGGAAACATATAACGACAAAACAAAATACTGAGAGGAATTGACAAGGTGGACAAAGACAGGATGTTCCAGAGTTTTGGAACGTAAAAAAGGGGACACAGTTGAAGTTGAAGACACAGATGAATAAAAGGGATGGAAAGTTTTTTTTCACCCAAACAGAGTATTAGAAAATTGGGAAAATATTTTTGGGAAGTGATGAAAGTGGAGGCAGGATCCATACATAGTTTAAAAAGGGCCAGGGGTTTATGATAAAGCTACGGCTCAGGGAGAGTGACCTAGTGGGCGTTTCAGTGAAGAGGGGGGGCCAGGAAGCCCCGGACTCGACCCCCCCCAACCCAACAAAGGTGGGGTACAACTAGGTAAAAAGAACACACACACACAAAACACCACACAAAACCACACACACACACACACACAAAAAGGGAAATCCCCGGGGAAATTTTTTTTCGGGCAAGCAAAGTCAGGGAAATTTTCCAGAAGGGGTCTGAATATCCAAACTGTGGATAAAAAATACTTTGCCATTTCTTGAACTTTTCTGATTTGGGGTTGTTTCTAAATTCTTTAAATTTTTATCACACCCCAAAGTACATAATGAGGGAAAGGGTGTGCCCAAAAGTCCATCGGGCCCAAAGTTTACATTTCGTTTGGCCCTAAAATCTTTTGGGGGTTGATTTAACCTCCCCAAAGATACTTGAAACCCAGCCGGACCCGGGCGGAGGGGACATCCAAGACCCGCTTTTTTTGTTGGTTTGCACCAAGACATGAGGCCCTCCGCAAAGATGGAAATGATGATAGAGGGAAACCAAATGGTGTCAACCCTCCCGACCAAAGCCCCCAAAAAAATTTAAATTTAAAAATTTTCTTTTCGTATTTTTTTGTTCTAAAACTACTACCGAAAAAGCCAAATTAAAAAAATTTTACCCCCCTCTTTAAAAAAGCTTTCCCGCTTGGGCCCAATTTATCAGTTCTATCATGCATCTGAAGACCAATGTGAATTTGGAAAACCACCCGCAAAGTTTCACTCTGACTTCCCCCTGTCCACAATCCTACCATACCTGTGTCTGGCTTCTGACAAAAAAGCATGCAACAATTTAAGCTTAAAAGATTGGGAGCAATTTTTGGGTGACCCGAAAAAAACAGTTTTCAATTAAAAATGCAAAATTTGATACCAAAATCATTTCATGCAAGGGGTAGGGAAACCCGTTTCCCGTCTAAGGTTTGGGCCCCAAATTAAAAGAAAGCGTGCCTCCAATTTCTTTTAAAAGAGCCCCTCACTCTGAAAGGGCAACAGCAGCACCTTTCCCGCTGCAAACCCGTGGGTTTGGGGAACAAACCAAACACGTAAAAAGTTTGCGAGAGTGGTTTTCTGTGTGACTAAGTTTTTCAATACGCTTTAAGGGGCCCCATGTTTTTGGGGGTTCAAAGGGGAAAATTTTTGGTTTTTGATTTAAGGGATTTTTTGGGGGGGAAATGAAGGGAAAGGGAGTTTTGGGAAAGGGGGAATAAACCCTGGGGCGGAAAAAGTTTTCCCGCTGTTGCCCTTCCCTTTACATAGATCATAATCCCGATTCAAAGCGGAGGTCGGTTCCCAAATTTTTTTTTTGAAACCATTTTGGAGGAAAAATGTTCCCCCCAGTTTCTGAGGGGAAAATTTGGAGGGGCTTCTGTGGGAGGGTTTTGAAGGGGTTGCCTGAGCAATTAACCCCCAATTTGGGTATTACTTTCCCGTAACCCCCTTTTCCGATGCTTGGAATATCAAGTTCTTTTTTGCATATTTAAAATTTTGTCAAATTACGAGGGGATCCCCGAAAAAGGGTTCCCCCAATTTCTTTTCCCTTCTGCGTTTTTTTTTTACCCTCCAACTTCCAGTCAACACAAAAGCAAAGTAATGGCGCCGCATAATCAACCATGATCTAATTTTAAAACAAGATACATCAAATTTTTCACAATTTTTTCATTAGCACCATACCTGGGGTGAAACCCAGGGGCCCCAACTCTAAAATGCTCTCAGTCTTTCTTTGTAAATTGGGGACAAAGTCCTTTTTTTGCAGCAGGTCCAAGTAAATGGAAACCCCCGAAACCTAGATACCTGTATCTTCTTACATATTCTAGAAGAGACCCATCATGCAATTGGACTGACGAACTGTGCCTCTCTGTCGAGGAGGACGCCTATTGAGTATCTTTGTTTTATCAGTAGAGATTATCAACCCCAGGTCCTGACACGAGGCTAGTACATGATTAAGAATGTTTTGGGTGTTGGAGAATCCGGTGGTGTGAATCATTATATCATCAGCAAAACTAATCACATAATGATGGGGGCTGACTAGGCATAGTATTAAGTAATGCATTAATTAGAATATTGAACAGTGTGGGACTGAGCACACCTCCCTGTGGGGTTCCTAATTCAAAGTCTTTAGTTACACTTCTAAGTCCCTGGAACAACACAGACGATTTTCTGTTGGACAGGTAGCCTTTAATCCAGCGGAGAAGCCATCCTCCAACATCCATTCTGGCAAGTTCACTAATGATTACATGTCGGTTGGCTACATCGAAAGCGGATTTAAGGTCAAGGAAGGTAGTGTATGAGCTGTCAGTGTGCAGGGTGAGAAAGGTGGCTATGCAATGATGCACGCTCCTTCCATGCATGAAACCATGCAACCGGGGAGACAAAAATTGTTTGATTCTGTACATGAGACGATTAAGAATCATTCTCTCAAATGTTTTACACAAGCAGCTAGTAAGAGATATTGGCCGAAGTACTTGAGTACTTGAATTCCTTTTGAGCAGTTTATACACTGATTATCATATAAATAAGCAGGGTCATTAAGACTGCATGTCACCTATTCACCATCAATTAAGAATATTTTAATACCTAAAATAGTAAAATCTCAGTTGTTAGTTTTTTTTTTAGTTTAATATGTTTATTATGCACCCCATACCCATCCGAATCTCTGTTTATATACTTATCTTGACTGCTGTTTTCAGTCAAAGTCACATAGTATACGGTACGTGTGCACTCCCACGACTAATGTAAAACTAATTTTTTATGCAATATGTATATAAAACTTTATTATTGTGGAAGATTATTGTGGCTATATTTTAGAATCTGACATAGTCTCTCCTGCAACAAAGAAGAGAAAATTGGTACAAGAATATCATACACTATATTTAAATTTGATTAATCGTACTTCCAGTAGCTTCCAAATATTTTAAAACATACTAAATACAATCAATAAACTCGTCGCAAAGCTCAGGAAGAAAAGCGAAAAGAAATATTGGCATACAAGTGTAAAATAAATGGATTAGTTAAAGGGAGTTGACAACTGTGGATGTAAACATTGATCGCGGGGTCACGTGACGCCTCGCCAGTAGCATATATACCGGCGGTGGTGGCGATACGTAAGTCAAAGTCGCCTTGTATTTCCTCCCACACACTCAACCGGTTCTCTTGTTACATATGAACCTGCAGTTAGATGCTCTTCTAGCATAAGCACAACCAGTTTTCACCAATAATAACATTTTATTTATCGCATTTGACTGTTGTTTTTCTATACCAAACTGAGAGTTCGTTATGTCTTCAGAAATCACATGTGAAATGCGAGACCGTGCTTATCGAATATGTCGGGATTATCTGCACGGAGCCTGGAAGATGATCAGCCCGGGAGAGATGATCGTCAAGAGGATCAGGTAAGTGCAGGTCACCACTTGTCTGATCAGGGAGTGTCCCTCACCTACCTTCAGGGCTCTTGATCCAGGCAGTTAGGTTTACCTTTTATTTTCCTTGGATCGATTTTGATTACCCTTCATTTCCCTGCCTCTGTATGACCCTTACAGCTTTAGCTCTCCCCATACATTCATTAATAATAATGATAATACATGTATTGTGTTCCCTTGGAAGTAAGTAATTATCAGTCAGTATTATTATTAGGCTGGGTTGGGGCTCTTAATCCAAGGAATTGGAGTTATGATCTTCTTTCTTGGACTACCTCATTATCCCGATTTCCAGAGGTTGTATGGCCCCTACGTGCTTAGCGTTTCCCCGGGGTAATGATGATAATGATTGTCGGTGTCGTCGTCTGCTTGTTTGGGTGTAGCCGACACCCAGACGTGCCAACACCCGCCCAACATCTGCCATTTGTGGCATCTTACACACTTGCTTATTTATTATGCCGTAGCAACCGGGGAAACTATATATGTCTTCAAGGTTAACCCAGATTGTAGGTGTGTTGTGCAGTAAGAGTGACTGCCTGGGATCTTACCATATGTCAGTGAAAATGTTTACCAGCCTGGATGTAAGAAATATTAAGATTTATTCATATATATTACACATCTGTAAATCCACACACTCAAACATATATCAATAGAACCCACCCACATATAACCCTCTTGTATATCCCGATAATCCCAACCACATAAGAAACCTGAAAGTACAATGAAGAATCTGAGCTAGTGTTAAGAGTTAGATAAGATTGTGTTGGGATTTTTAACCCTGGAGGGTTAACCACCAGGATAAGCCAAGAAAGGTAGTGCATCATTGAGGACTCTGTCCTATTTCCATTGGATTCAAGATAAATTATTATTTCTCGTAAATAAATTTATACTTGAATGACGGAGTCACGTAGGTATAATGGTTGTCAGGAAGCAAGTGTTTCCTGACGCGGGTCTTAGTCATATGACCCACAGCTGGAGCTATTGGTCATCTTGACCGAGGCCTTCCGCTGGCTTACCGGTCCACCTTTTTAATTAAAAATCAGGGTTATGATTATAACCATTAAGTAGTTGCTATGAGACGTCAGGAAAAACCGTGCGGAATCTAAAATGTATTTAAAAGCTGGAAAATAAAGTTTCCGAAAAATGTTGCATTTTCTTCTGAATATATTTTTTTCTTAAACGTCTTGTTCATTATCAATCAGTTGTCAGGCAGTGGAATAGCCTAGAAAGTGACTTAGTGGAGGCGGGAACCATACATAGTTTTAAGACGAAGTTTGATAAAGCTCATGGAGCAGGGAGAGAGAGGACCCAGTAGATTAGATAGATTTTGCCACCCAAGTTGCTAGTTTATTGTGCAGGTCATATCCATCCTGTGGACGGTAGCGCAAGAACATATGGATACACAAAAGGCCTAGGAACTAGGCCCCAAAGGGTTAACAGGAATACATATGGATTTATATCTATGTATCTATAGTTCACTTATCTGTTACAAGCAAATTTAGGAAATTTGCTTAGTATATCTGGTATCTTATTTTCATTAATAAGATATCTTGACATGTCACATAGGTTATTATACTGTCTGTCTCTATTCCTCAATAAGTGGACAAATAAGCACATAGTGTTCAAGAGAGTGACCATATGCCTGATCACATAATTTTACATTTTATTTTTGATCATCATCTGTGTGTCTCCCAAACTGCCAGAAGTACTTGTAACCAAGCCTAAGCCTGGCCACTACAACATCAGTCAGTTTGTTCACATTGCAAGTTGCTCCATAAACATACTTATCTATGTTCATGTTATCATAGTGGGTTATAGATCTACTCAGGCTTCTAACTGCATTCCTATAACAATCATTTTCATTATTTACTTCTCTCCTGCTATTATTCCTAATGCTAGACACAGTTATACCGAAGTTATATTCTACATTCTCCTTCTGGGTACTCTTCTTGGCTAACATATCAACTTTATCATGAAGGAGTAATCCATGTGTGATGGGATCCATAGCAATTGTGGAAAATACTGTATATTTTCTGGAAATACGGTAATTTATAGGTAAATAGATGCCCTATATTGTATTTAATAAAAGTGTATTTTTAAAAAGAGACAGTCGCCATTTTGGTTTTGAATGAGTCAAGTAAACATTAGTGTAATGGGAAGAATTTTTCGTGCTCTAGAGGTTAAAATTGGGCTGACACCTTTCAAATAGGAGGCGAAATTGTTGGATGTGCATTCCTGCATAACTTGAGATATCAGGCGACTGGACAAGACAGCTCCAGGAACCTCGGATAAGTCTGTTATGTTATAACTGGCTAGTTATTTTCATGTATAGACAGTGAGGTTTTCTGAGTATGATACAACTTAATCTCCAGTCAAATTGGTGAATGTTATGATTAAGATATATTCTCCTTCTGTTATATAAATGTGTGTATATACTATAATCCTTTTTTAATTTTAATATACAGTCCACAAATTTATATATTTACCAGCATTCCTGGTGTATGTATATTTCATTTAATTAATAGGTCCAGAGCAACTTGTGGATATGACAGTGGTAGGTATCGAAGGGGGACATTTTTTGCGACCTAGGTGTCCCAAATTCCTACTTGTCTAACTGATAAATAATAATTATCTATGTTCATTTATTGTTATGTACATAATGATACATTCAGATAAATGCAATTTTCCACAGCAATTGTTCATTAATTCCTTTGTCCCTAATTTTTGAGTATCTATACCTGGCTTCTCCAATGAGCATGTTGTTGGAGTCATTATGAGAGTCAAGAGCCTTCAATGATGACATAGAATCAGTAATGATGATAGAGTCAAGCTCAGTGTCATGCTCAGTGTCATAGGTTAGCTTTAGCGCCATTAGGATTGCAAACAATTCAGTTTGCAGTGTAGACGCCCAGTTGTTAATTCTTATGCTTAGCTCAACAAATTTATTATCGTTCTTAACTAGGGAGGTGGCAACAAGAGCAGATGCAGCCCTGCCAGAAGACTCCTGTTTAGATCCATCAGTGTATATAACTTGTGATAACTTATTACTACCAGCTAGGAGAGAAATTTCTTCTTGAGCAGTTGTTTTAACAAGTGATTTAAGGAAGGGATTACTAGCAATGAGCTTCTTGGGAGGGACTTGCAGGTATGTGATATTAAATGAACACATCTTCCATGGAGGGATGAAATGCTCTTGTTGCCTACAGTGATACAGGTCATGCAGGTTATAAAACTTAATGCAATTGCACGTTTTCACAATCCATTTAGATCTGTGTGTATTTACCTCTAGACACTTGGTAAGATTCATTGTGACAGCGTCTGGTTCATTTCTCAATATTCTAATACCGAGTACAGTGTTAATCTCAACAATCCTATCACTCAGTAGCAATTGCAACCAGTGAAGAGGTGGGGCCAGGAGCTATGAATCGACCCCTGCAACCACAAATAGGTGAGTACACACACACACACACACACACCCACACACACACACACACACACACACACACACACACACACACACACACACACACACACACACACACACACACACACACACACACACACACACACACACAGCTAAGAGGTATGTCCTACGAGGAGAGGTTAAATCAACCTGACGACACTGGAGGACAGGAGAGATAGGGGGGACATGATAACGACATACAAAATACTGAGAGGAATTGACAAGGTGGACAAAGACAGGATGTTTCAGAGATTGGACACAGTAACAAGGGGACACAGTTGGAAGCTGAAGACACAGATGAATCACAGGGATGTTAGGAAGTATTTCTTCAGCCACAGAGTAGTCAGTAAGTGGAATAGTTTGGGAAGCGATGTAGTGGAGGCAGGATCCATACATAGCTTTAAGCAGAGGTATGATAAAGCTCACGGCTCAGGGAGAGTGACCTAGTAGCGATCAGTGAAGAGGTGGGGCCAGGAGCTCGGACTCGACCCCCGCAACCTCAACTAGGTGAATACAACAAGGTGAGTACACACACACACACACACACACACACACACACACACACACACACACACACACACACACACACACACACACACACACACACACACACACACAATTGGAAGTTGAAGACACAAATGAGTCAGAGAGATATTAGGAAGTATTTCTTCAGTCATAGAGTTGTAAGGCAGTGGAATAGCCTAGAAAATGACGTAGTGGAGGCAGGAACCATACACAGTTTTAAGACGAGGTTTGATAAAGCTCATGGAGCGGGGAGAGAGAGGGCCCAGTAGCAACCGGTGAAGAGGCGGGGCCAGGAGCTAAGACTCGACCCCTGCAACCACAAATAGGTGAGTACACACACATTCATTCATTCATTCATTCATTCATTCATTCATTCATCATATATATATATATATATATATATATATATATATATAATATATATATATATATATATATATATATATATATATATACATATATATATATTACATATATATATTTATTTATTTTTTATTTTATTATCACACTGGCCGATTCCCACCAAGGCAGGGTGGCCCGAAAAAGAAAAACTTTCACCATCATTCACTCCATCACTGTCTTGCCAGAAGGGTGCTTTACACTACAGTTTTTAACTGCAACATTAACACCCCTCCTTCAGAGTGCAGGCACTGTACTTCCCATCTCCAGGACTCAAGTCCGGCCTGCCGGTTTCCCTGAACCCCTTCATAAATGTTACTTTGCTCACACTCCAACAGCACGTCAAGTATTAAAAACCATTTGTCTCCATTCACTCCTATCAAACACGCTCACGCATGCCTGCTGGAAGTCCAAGCCCCTCACACACAAAACCTCCTTTACCCCCTCTCTCCAACCTTTCCTAGGCCGACCCCTACCCCGCCTTCCTTCCACTACAGACTGATACACTCTTGAAGTCATTCTGTTTCGCTCCATTCTCTCTACATGTCCGAACCACCTCAACAACCCTTCCTCAGCCCTCTGGACAACA